TTTTTTTCAGGGTATATTTAGGTCTCACGAATTTTTCGTTTCTCCCTGAGGTTTACGTTATTGTTTTTTTTCAGTTCTATAAAAAAATCACCTTTTATGTATTAAAAAAGCTAGTTTTACACTACGCTTAAAGAAATATGTCTTGAAAACGTAAAATGAAGTTTGGAGAATAACAGTCGAACAAGAGAAATAAGATTATTATACATCTTAAAATACTTTTATCTGCATTAAGCTTAATATACTACTGACTGTAGAGAGACGTCATACTGTAGCATTATAGCGTAATTTTTAGTTAAGTCTTTTGAATAAAATGTACTATGTTATAAGGTTAAAATAAAATAAAACTTATAATAGAATAAACATTCATCCTAGAAAAAACAAAAAACAAACTTTCTCTTCTTTATCCAATTTGCAATTTTAATTCAGTTGGATGACTTGTAGGTAGAGTTTAGTAAAAGAACATCTTGACAGCTGTTCTTTTTAATTCGGAAATATTTGTTTGTTTGATATTAAGCACAAGGCTACACAATGGACTATCTGTGCTATGGCCACCGTGAATATCGAAACCTGATTTTTAGCGTTATAAGCCCTCAGACTTACCGCTGAGCCACCGGGGAGCAATTCGGAAAGAACCTTTAATGATATCAGTGAAACCATAAGGTCACTATAGGATCAGACAGGAAACGCACAATATGATTATATATGTATGAAAGCCGACTCAGAAATCGTGTTGAAATACGTGTACGCTTAGGCCTACTTAATTACAGAATCTTTTGTTTCTTAGCTGAATAATGTAGAAATTTTTTCTAGTTCGGTATTCCGAATAATGATAATGCCATAACAAAACTTTTCAAGTTATGTTTAAAAATAAACACATAAGCCTAGTTTAACAATTAAGGTGCTTAAATCAATAAATTTGACAACCAAGGTGTTTATTGTTTGTTTGTATTAAGCACAAAGTTATACAAAGGGCTATCAGTGCTCTGCCCACCATGAATATCGAAACCCGGTTTCTAGCGTTGTAAGTCCGCAGACATGCCGCTGTGCCCTGGGAGGCTAAGGTGTTTAAATCAATAATTTGACAACTGAGGTGTCTAAATCAATAAATTTGACAACTGAGGTGTTTAAATCAATAAATTTGACAACTGAGTTGTTTAAATCAATAAATTTGACAACTAAGGGGTTTAAATCAATTTCACGTTCTGAGATTAACCAACATTATCCTGTGGCACTTGATCGCAAAACTTTGTCTGTAAGTTGAAAATAGCCATCGCATCACCAAAAACGGAGGATACAACCAAACATTTAGATAAAACCCAGTAAATCGTTTTACAACAAAGTAAGTGTGATGTTGGAATTTCGGACAACTCAAGTAACATGTAGATTAATGGCTGGTATTAACCAATGTTAACAAAGAAAGACGTTCTTTGTGGCTTACAACCCTGCTAACACGTGTAATTTTCCTGCGTGTGATGCAGACGTTGGGCCTCCTCCATCAGTTTTCCCTTGTTCACCCAAGTCCCCCACCACGTGCTCTGTCCTCTTGATGAATGAAACAGACTTAATCACTCTGCCCCATATCAATTCTCATACGGTACCAAAAAACGTTGAACATTAAAAGATCTTAGGGCGTCTGAGAGATACGTAGAAGGAATTTTTTCATCATCAGTAATCCAATAATTAATTATATTTAACTAACGATCCATTGTCATTACGGGTTTAAATTTTGACTCCCACAACTAAAAAAAGAAAACTTGTTCTGTAATCGTTTATCTCACGCAATCGGACAGATTCGTATTACTTAAGGACCGGGTAGTAGTGTACATGCAGAAATAGGCTTAGTAATCCCCTTTTTTCAACCGTAGTTTAAAAGACGATTCGGTTTCTTTGTAACATTTCACTACAAATATAACTACTGTAGCGCCATCTTATAAGTGATTCGTTAAGAATCTTTTCGTTCTTGTGGTTATGAATGATACCAGTTCTGGTTGCTATCGTCATTTTATCCTGCTATGTTAAACAGAAACGAGTGTGGTTAGTTTCTGTTTAACATAGCAGGATAAAATGACGATAGCAAGGGTGTGGTAGTTTCTGTTTAACATAGCAGGATAAAATGACGATAGCAAGAGTGTGGTTAGTTTCTGTTTAACATAGCAGGATAAAATGACGATAGCAAGAGTGTGGCTAGTTTCTGTTTAACATAGCAGGATAAAATGACGATAGCAAGGGTGTGGTTATTTGTATATATCATCTTTGTGAGGTTAAGTTGTTATTTAGTATTTAGTTAGTTATATTTACACTCTCCCATGTACGGTTTTAATTAAAAGCGTAATAATCCGAAAAGATAAGCACAGACTTCAATCTGAATAAATACCTTTCTTTAAGCTAATCTTGTTGTTCAGTTTCGAACACTTTTGTTTGAAATAAGGTTCGTTTTATTGTATACTGTTACTGATAGTCCGATAGATACAGAATTTAGCCAGTAGGCGATAAAACTCGTAAACTAGAAAGTTTTAATTATAGTTGGGAGTTAGTGGGTACACTAAATTAATATATTATTGTGATAGAAAAAAAATCAATTATAAGCAGTAAAAACTAGGAATAAGTTTCTCTTTCGGATATCCGGGTTTGTGTTGACAGTTTGATTTTAAAATATCATAACTATTCTCGAAATTATAAAACCCCAAAAAAGATTGATGTTTTTCAGTCACAGGATTAGGGTAAATTCCAAGTTAGTTATACGACTAGAATTTAGCACTGAGAAATTATAGACTAGAGGGAAGACAGCTAGTCAACAGTACTCAACGTCAACCCTTGAGCCAATCTAATCTTCCTTCACTCTTATAGTGCGCCCATAGCCCCGAAGTGTAGAGGGCGTTTGTGCATCAACGGGACGCAAACATGCATTCTCAATTTTACAGTTCGGGCATGCTAACTATTGGTTACACCCAATATGAGAGAGAAACAGATAAGGTCGTGGCTGGAAGGTTTCTGCATTTTTCACTACAGATCGTTTTAAGAATTTATGCTTTTTTGTTTGGATATAGTATTTCGACTTATACACTCTGGAAGTACACTCTCTGGTAGAAAGAACAGGATTTTTTTCAGTGTTAATTATAAAGTTATAGCTGAGAAGTGAAGAAACATCAAGTTATTTCTGCAAAGAGAAAGAAATTTAAGTTTATGATTTATATTGTTATTTCTGTTAACCAAAAATGTATTAATTAGAACAAAAGTTAATAATATCGTGTATTTGTATGAAGGACACAAAATGAAAAATTAATGATACTGGAACTTAGAACCAAGTAGGTTCCTTAAGTACTTATATGTATTTTCTTCAAACGTACTCTTCGTGTGAACGTGCTTTGTAGTCACTATGAGAAGTACCTATACACTAGATAGGTAAAGTGAAGAAAAAGTGTCACTGGCCACTATTCCCTTCTTCACATTATATAGCAGCATGATAGCAGATGTAATAAATAAACTGAGTATTCCGAAAATTGTTTAATTTCGAAGTCTAAGTTCAGGGGAGGTCCAGTTCAATCTACACTTTGACCAACGCGTATTATTGGGTTATACTAGTTTCAGAGTATAACCCAATAACACACGTTGATCAAAGTGTGATATTGGGTTATACTCTGAAACTAGTATAACCCAATAACACACGTTGATCAAAGTGTGATATTGGGTTATACTCTGAAACTAGTATAACCCAATAACACACGTTGATCAAAGTGTGATATT